GGAACCCGCTGGTGGTAGCAGAGGAAGAGGGAGACCCCCACTGCGATGGAAAGATCAGGTGGAGAAGGACTTGGCTTCACTTGGCGTTTCCAATTGGCGTCAGTTGGCACAGAGGAGAAACGACTGGCGTGCTTTGCTGAACTCGGCCAAAATCGCTTAGGCGGTTACAGCGCCAAAAAAGAAGAAGAAGAAGTCTAGCGTCTTGGTCTGCAGGCTGTATCGGAGACACAGCCGCTAAATTCAAATGTAGAATACATACGTGGCATGGTTAAGAGCACATCCAAGTCAAAATCGAACACTAAGAAAAAGTATCGATAACAAAAGCGATAATAATATCGATATCAAAATCGATAACGAAATCTAAAATAATATCGATAGCAAAATCGATAAAAATATCGATAACAAAATCAATAAAAATATCGATAACAAAATCAATAAAAATATCGACAACAAAATCGATAAAAAATATCTTTTATTATATCGACAAGTTCCGAAAATATCGACAGCAAAATCAATATCAGTATCGATAAAAATTTCGATAACAAAATCGATAAAAAATATCAATAAAAAAACCGATAAAATAATGGNTAACAAAATCAATAAAAATATCGATAACAAAATCGATAAAAAATATCTATCGACAAGTTCCGAAAATATCGACAGCAAAATCAATATCATTATCGATAAAAATTTCGATAACAAAATCGATAAAAAATATCAATAAAAAAACCGATAAAATAATGGTTATTATATCGATAAGTCTCGAGAATTCCGAAAATCTCTAAAATTCCGAAATAGTCCCCAGATTGAGTCTCGGTCTATATCATTTTCTCTATAATTACCTTTATTTTAATCTTTCTTCCTCTATCTCCGTATTTACTTTTATCGGTATACTCATCCGTGTTTGGCCGAGCTTCTCCTCCTCATCCTCATCCTCATATTTTTCTTTATATTTATCTTTATTTTTGCTTTTATGTTAATCATAATCTTCATCTACATATTCCCTTTCACCTTTGCCTTTTATAAACATTGCGCCATCTGTTATTCATAAGCCGAAATACCTACACACACATGCTCTCTGTCTCATTCTCTCACTACNCTATCTCCGTATTTACTTTTATCGGTATACTCATCCGTGTTTGGCCGAGCATCTCCTCCTCATCCTCATCCTCATATTTTTCTTTATATTTATCTTTGTTTTTGCTTTTATGTTTATCATAATCTTCATCTACATATTCCCTTTCACCTTTGCCTTTTATAAACATTGCGCCATCTGTTATTCACAAGCCGAAATACCTACACACACATGCTCTCTGTCTCATCTCAATTTTGCATTAAAATGCTCAATATTTGTTGAACTTATATAAAATTTGTACACGATAATATTTTTATTACTCCAAAGAACCTATATCCCGAAAATGAAAGCATATCCTGCAAATCGTAAGTTGCTAGAGCACTTTAAAGGCTCAAAATTGACCCCAAAATAAGCCAATGTTTACCGTTGTTTCTACGACAGAAACCGAATTGATTACTCACAAAAATGAATCTGTCGATAGGTTTGGAATTATATCTTTGAAACGCCACACCTTTCTTTCAAATCGCTTCATTAGTTCTCGTGCAATAAGCGTATTCGTAAAGCTCTAAGAATTACAACAACAACATTGAAACTTGGCCTCTATATCGAGACGTATAACGTATTCTATGTAAAAAAAAAAATAAAACATTTCTTAAAAACCTAAATACATCTTCCGAAACAGCTTAGAGAGAGCGAAGTTCCACATTTTCTAAATAATTTTGCAATTTTCTTGCTGGGCGACTATGGGAAAATCGTGGGTTATTTCTGATTATTATTTTTGTATAGGAAAATCATGGGTTATTACTGATTAATATTTTTATATAAAGCTTTTCAAAATGAGTACACTGTGTAACAAAATAAAAAAAAAAATATTACTTTTTCGACTTTCACAGGTGTTGCAGGTCTAAACAAGCAGCAAAAAAATCGGCATACTCACAATTTCGAATGAACCTCCAAAATCTGGACTTAANTAATATTTTTATATAAAGCTTTTCAAAATGAGTACACTGTGTAACAAAATAAAAAAAAAATATTACTTTTTCGACTTTCACGGGTGTTGCAGGTCTAAACAAGCAGCAAAAAATCGGCATACTCACAATTTCGAATGAACCTTCAAAATCTGGACTTAGAGCCCAAAAACCCATTTTTGGTAAGCTGAATCATATATGTAGATATGTACTTTCTCGTAACTTTACTTCTGTTTACCCGATGAAAAAGCTTTATATGTCATTCAAGAAAAAATACTTTACTACTTACAACACAGTGTTATGCATTTATCTGTCTATCACTATTTGCGCGCTATTCTAAGAAATGGCGCTACAATAAAACTGGCGGCTATAATAATCAAATGTAAACATACTTATGTATGTTTCTACGTATACAGTTAGTAAAAAAGTCTATGCCTGTCCATTTGAAGTATTCAATTACATTTCTGAGTATTATGTATGTATGTATATACATACATATGTATTTCCAAGCGTTGAATGTGAAAAATCTAATAATGAGTGTATGAAAAAAAAACAAAAACTTTTCTACATTAACTGATATGTATATAAATTAAGCGCTGATATTCGCTTAATTCAGTTGCACTAAGCTTGTCAAACGGACAACACACGAAATTATATACAAAAACAACAACATGGCAAAACTCACAGTTTCATTGTTTCTAAGCGTCTGTTTATCGCTGCAGGTGAGTTAGATAAATAGGCTACACAAGCAGCAACTTTTTTATGAAATTCATTAAAACTTTAATTCTCTTCCAGCTCGGCGCAGCTTTCCCTTATCAAAACTCATTGAATTCCATAGACGATAATGATGTCAAATCTAATGAACTGCAGTACTCCAAGGCCACAGAGTCAACGGCAGCTGATTTTCTCAAATCGCTTCAGCCAGTGATCCTTAATACGCTTGCCGTCCTTCAAGACCATTCGAATACGCTCATACAAGAAACGAGCAAATTTGTCGATGACCTGCTGGTCGAACTGAATGCATTACCAGAGGCGAATGAATATGTTCAGGAGCTCATTCCAGAATTGACGAACCTTTTAGATCGCATGGAGACAATTGAATTGCACGATGATTCGCCACATGTGTTACGCGAAAAGGCGGCACTTTTAAGAGCCATTGCAAAAATGTATGTGGACTTTGATCGCGTACAGAAGGGTATCGATGAGAACGCGGATCATGCTGTGTTAAGAGAAGTTTTTGCAAAATTGGAATTGGCCGAACTCAATGAACGTGTTGGCAAGAGTGTGCGGGCAGCCGTGCAAAAATTCACGGTCGTTTTTGAACGTTTCTGGAATTCGCTAAGCGAAGCTGAAAAGGCGGACCACAAGGATATGAGCGAGTGGTATGAGCGTTTTGAAGCTAAAGAAAATGCGCAAGAGAAATTCAAAAGTTTCGTTGAATTCCTGCACATTATTGAAAAGATAGTTAGAAATAAAAATTAAAAGCTCGTTTGAAATTGTACATATGCAACTAGTATGTATATCCATATATCCATTAGTAGTAGTAAGTAGATAAGAATTTCGAAATATTGTACTTAAGTTTAATGGAAAACTCATTAAAAAAATAAATCAATTTTATTTAAATCATAATGCTGGATTTCCACTAGGCATTAAATGGCAAAAATGCCAAATGACAAAGTCGGGCATTAACATATATTCGATCTCATAAAAAAAATACCTTGACCTATCCAACTAGCTTCAAATGTACGGCGTTTTCAATTTTCTTCTTTTTTTGACCCCATACTGTATGCAGTGAACCTTTTAAGCCACATTTAAACAAATATTTTTGCTCTTCTTGCATTAAGGAATCCATTTTCATGGCGATAAGAACCGAAAAGCGCATTTTAAATTTATTTAAAAAATTCATTAAATGCTGTTTTACGTGAACAAAATCTAAAGTTTTACTTTTGAAGACCATTTTGAAGGTTACTTTGAATCAAATATTACCTTGGCCTTTAAAATTGCCTTCAAAAGTAAACTTTTTTGTTTGTATTTTTCTGTATCCCAGAATAGAATTTTTAATTCGTTTTTCGGTTCTTGTAGTAAAATAAACTCCTTGATGCAAGAAGAGCAAAAAAGTGTGCCTAAAACTTTTAACAAAGTTCACTGTTTTTCGGTCAGAAAAGGAAGAAAGTTTAAAGCCCCTACCTTTGAAGGTCATTTGAAGGCCAAGATAAATTTTTTATACAACGGAAGTATTTTTCGTGTATTTTCTATATCAAAACATTAAAAGTGGTGTTAAATTTATTTCGCTAAATGTTTTTTGTTGTTGCCCTGTACACAATAATAGCAAAAATATATGCTAAAAACTTTTTATAAATTTCATTGTATTTTAGGTAAAATATTTGAAAACCCTTTATTTTTGAAGTCAATTTTAAAGGTGAACGCAATATTTTTATCTAAGATGAGTTTTCCTGCATTTTCTATTCCAAAACCTTCAAAATACTTTTAAATTTATTTCGCTTGCTCTTCTCGTTCTCGAGATAGATTTTGTTACAAACGAAATTAATTTTTCACACTGTGCAGCTCATAGAGGCGCAAACGCGAAAATTATTATTTAAACACATCCGTCATCTTTCAAGAATTTTAGGCTTTAGACCTTTTTTAATAGTAAAATTTGGCATTTGTACCACTGTGCGGCGGGCGTAAATGTGTTAGTGATAAAATCGGTTTGATATCGACCTCGAAAACGTACATACATATCGTTGTTTAAAGTACAAAGCCGCGTATCGTGGTTCTGCAAAACCTCGTAACTGACATTTGTGCCAAAGCTCCTGGCATCAAACCCTTATCCGTTCATACAAAAATATTGATAATTAGACATAAAACGAAAAGATAATTGGGGATGAAAAAGAGAATCGTTTTGAAATAAGACAAGTTTTCCTCTCTCCTATAAAAATTTTGGCAACCTCACATACGTGGTCTCGCATTTTCCTGTTACGCGGTTTTGTACTTTGAACGACGATATGTACAAGTATATGGCGAAATATGTAATCGGTGGTGAAGCAAAATCTTAAGGTTCTTTGTAGTGTTTGAGATGATATCATCCCTTTGTTTCTCTCTACATTTCAAAGTCAAACTTTCCAATTAGTCTATAAACAAATAACTGGACTTGCTTGCACCCTTACGTTTCATTTCTTTATTCTTTACGGCAGGCGTGCCATATTTATTTACTTAAAATTGCTATTTTTTATTAAAAGTATTTTACACATTTTGTGCTTAGATTTTAAATATTTCGAAAAACTTAGCAAAGTGTTTAAACTTCTCTTCGCTACTTTTTGCTCCTTGAAAGAGCATCCACCAATCACTTAACTCTGATAGCTGCATCTTCCCAGTTTCGCTAAGCGAATTCCAAAATCTTGCAAAGATGATTGAAAATTTATGAACAACAGTATCTGCCGACCTTAACAAGTTTTTATGAAAATCTTTTAAATATGGTTTGATGTAAAATATGGCATCACGGCCGGCAACATTCCCTCTGGCTGTAAGATCAATGTCAGCTAGCAAAAATGCTATATCTTTTAGAAGCGTGGATTTTTGAGTTAACACCGCAGACGAATCGCCATCCAAATCAATGCCTTCGATACGTTCTACCAAATTACTAAAACGCGTAATATTTGAATGTATGCTTTCACTTTCCAATGGCAGCTTGATAAGTGCCTCAACTGCTTGCTTTAGAAAGATATTTGATGCACGTATGACATCACGACTGCGCTCCTCAACAAGTATAGCGGTATAGACCAAGAGTGGTAAGATCTCCGAGGCAAGATATTCTTCTAATGGCGTTTGTGATTTAGTTTGCTTAAGGCTGAGATCATCTTCGTTCTCGAATGAGTATGGCACTCGATAATGCGGTATAGAAGCGACGAACTGTAGTACGTAGAGGAAATTTTATATATGTACATAAAAAGAGTATTGTGAAATTGTTTGTGCTGTTATTTTATAATGCGAGTAGCTCACCTGTAGCAGTAAGCAAATGCTGAGGGCAACTAAAAGTTTTCGTTTTGCCATTAAAACGCGATTTCAGAGCTTTCCTTGAAGCAAATGTAAATATTTAAATTAGCCGGCTTTATGCGACGTCTTATATACAAAATTATGCAAATGGTTTTTGAGTAGGGTGGTTATAGAATAAGCAACGTGCATTATTGATTTTATTAAATAACAATTATTTCATAAAATGATTATTGCTAACTAAAAATTATAGGTATTGCACCCTCACGATTGATTAACCACCAGTTAATAGATTAAATTTATGTATGTTAGTATTTACACATTCGCATGTGTGTACATTAGGGCGGTCCAAAAATGCATGTGAAAAATTAAAGTCGGAATTTTTATGCTCTCACCCACTAGGATTGTTCTATACCGAAAAAATAGACGCCCAAAGTCTTCTATGTATTTTATATGCAAAAAAAAACAACTTTTCGTAGAAATGGTATAGAATTCTTAAAGATCGATATTTTTCTATCGAAAAACTCGGTTTATCTGCAGGAGATTCCCCGTTAGTATTAAAAAATGGTAAAATAAACAATTGGGAATTATTATTGAAGGTCTCCTGAAGAGAACCACAGTTTCCCGATCGAAAAATATTGATTTTCAAGAATTCTATACCATTTCTACAAAAAATTGTCTTTTTGCCATATAAAAGTATATGGAAATCTTTGAGCGCTTTGAGCGACCTCTAAGTATTTTTTGATTTCAAACTAAAAAAATAGGGGTCAACTTTTTTCGATATAGAACAATCCTAGGGGGTGAGAGCACTACAATTCCGACTTTACTGTTTTTGGACCACCCTAGTGTACATATGCTTACATAGCATACATAGAGAAATTCAATCAAGTAGATAAGTATTTGTAAATCTGTTGTGGAAGTTTTCTAATGAAAAACAAGTAAGAGCAGCGCTGTTGTCGGCTATGCCGAAGACTTCATACCTTTCATGAACATCTGAAAATTTTACTTTAACAGGTTATTGCATTGGAAAGAATTTATATATTCACAGCATACATATGTAGTTAGAGGAGTTACAAATATAAAAAATCAAATCTAAAAAATTAGAGGTATACAAGATACCTGCTGCTCCCACAATACATCAACTATTTTTACCTTAAAAGTAAATGGCTTTATGTACATACATATGTATATGTAAGTATGTATACACGTAAGTTGAGCAAATAACAATAGTTATAAAACTATGTCATTCCATGTCTCTAGGCTAGAAAAATGGAATAACTTAGTTTTATTCGCATCTTTAAACTTAGGTCAAACGATAAACAATAGTTATATCTAAGCAATAATTAAAATAATGCTAATAAATTAGAAACTCAACCAAAATAGCTTAACTGCCTCAAAATTTTTCTCAATATCCGCCATGATGTTGAAATTCTCGTACAAATAATTAACGGACTTTCCCAATTTAACTTCACGCATCAACCAATTGATGTGCTCCAATAACACTTCAAACCATGCAGCGTACTTTTCCGAAAGCTCAGTATCAAAATTTATATTATTCATTAAGTTCAAAGTGTCATATAAATCCTGCCCCACTAGCAACTGCTGCATAGTACTAAGATTTTTAATTTTCGCAAGGATGATGAATAGTTCTGCAGCTCCGTCAGCAGATGTAGCACTTCTTAGTTTACGCTGAATAACTTTAAGTGAGTCACGTATAAAGACTTGGGAAAATATTTTCACCGATTTATCAATTGTATTTAAATTAACATTTAAAAAATATTCTCCAGGTAAAGGATTTGAGGTGGCAAAATTATCATATGCCGTTTCTTTCCAAGCCGCGTCCAAATCATTTGCTGAGGATCTTGCCTCAGCATTGGTGTCTTCNGCCAATTGATGTGCTCCAATAACACTTCAAACCATGCAGCGTACTTTTCCGAAAGCTCAGTATCAAAATTTACATTATTCATTAAGTTCAAGGTGTCATATAAATCCTGCCCCACTAGCAACTGCTGCATAGCACTAAGATTTTTAATTTTCGCTAGGATGACGAATAGTTCTGCAGCTCCGTCAGCAGATGTAGCACTTCTTAATTTACGCTGAATAACTTTAAGTGAGTCACGTATAAAGACTTGGGAAAATATTTTCACCGATTTATCAATTGTATTTAAATTAACATTTAAAAAATATTCTCCAGGTAAAGGATTTGAGGTGGCAAAATTATCATATGCCGTTTCTTTCCAAGCCGCGTCCAAATCATTTGCTGAGGATCTTGCCTCAGCATTGGTGTCTTCTTTTACTGAATTGAAGTCCATCCTCTGTACTTTCTCAGCTGAAGTGAATAAGGTATTCCATTCTTGTTGTAATTGTACATAAGCCATAATCAACTGTATATCGTAAAAAGCAGTTTCATAAAGGAATTACGTTTATTCAAGAATTCTTGTAAATCTACCTTAGTTAGCATCATCAGGATTGCCACTATCGTGAAGAGATCTATGTTTCTGGCCATTTGCAGAAGGATTTTATATTTTCTCTTCTGGCGTAGTTAAATGACGACGAGATACTGAAGGCCAGCATTTCTCAGCAAATGCTTTATAAATATTTCACATTTCGCATGCATATCTTTCTTCGAAATAAAGAATTTCAGTCAATCTGCATATTCATAGCATTTCATGATTGAAGGAGCGATGTGTATCCCCGGATTTTATTTTCCGTGAAATGCCGTCACCCAACGAATAGGGTGGTCCAAAGAAAGTGAAGCCTAAATCTAGTTTCCTCACCTCTAGGGTTGTTCAATATCGACAAAAAATATAAACTTTTTTATCTAATGAAACAGATATTTAGAGGTCGCTCACAGCACTCAAAGTTTCGCATTGAAGAATAATTTTTCGTAGAATTGTTATGGAGAATCTATAATTTTGAATCGGCAAATAATAGGTACACACTTTTTTAATATTCACCAAAAGAATGCAATTCTTCGAAGTCTACTGAAAGGAAACAGAGTTCCTCGATTGAAAATTATTGATTTTCAGATATTCTATACCATCTAAGAAAAGTAGTTTTTTCTTCATATGAAATTCATAGGAAGCTTTGAGCGACCTCAAAATATTTTTTTATTAAAAAACCCGGGGTATATATTTTTCGTTATGGAATATTCCCAGGGGGTGAGAGCATTAAAATTTCGACTTCACTTTTCCACATGCATCATTGGACTTCCCTAATAATGTACAAACCACATTCTAACGTTTATACAACCTAAGTTAAGCTTTTGGTTTAATAAAAATTGCAATAGTTAGCGAAAATATTGAGGGAGTGAGCTTAAAGCAATTAAAACCAGTTTGATTCGCCATATACGAATATATTAAGAACTTTGCTTCTGCGGGTTTTACTGCATGAGTAAAATAAACACTTGTTTGTGATTTTAAGATAAGTTGTATAGATAGTTGTAGATATTTTTAAATGTATATTAGGGCGGGTCAATTCGTATGGGATATTTTTTTGACTATGCGCGTATAGCATAGGAAGATTTTACGTGCCAAAGAAACCATGGGTCTAAAATCAATTTGGAGTTTGCCAAATTGTGAAATTAGGTTTCGAAGAAAATGAGAAAAAATATGAGTGCAGAAATGGATTTCTCAAACAAAAATACCCTTTATAGCATAATTTTATATAAAATTTAAGCACTTCCTTCCGACGATACAGCAAAATGCCAAGAAACCTATCTTCGCTAACTAAACTCCAAATTGATTTTAGACCCATAGTTTCTTCGCAAAATTTCTTTAGAATTACACCTAGAATCCTTCTGTGCTATACGCACGAAGTCGAAAAAATCTCCCATACACATTGACCCCACCTAATGTATCATACAAGTATATGTTTATAGTGCAATCACTTAATGCAGCTCAGCTGCCAAACGTTTTGCCGGTTAAGCGACAATCGTGTGCTTTGCTAAAGCTTTTTCTAAACAGTCCACATTTAAACAACTCTTCAAAGTATTGTTTACATCAGAAGTTTATTTACATCAGAGGTTTATTTAAATCGGCATTAGCTTGACATAAGCCACTCATTATAACGTCGGCGCTCAACATACACTCCTAGCCATGCAAGCAACCAAAGCGTCGGAAACCTCGGCTGTGCCTTCAGTCATTTCACTGGGTGAATTGATGAACTTCACTCTCAGTTTAGTCGGAGAACATGGCCGGATGCAAATCGAGCTGTCATAAAAATTTATGCAAAAGTTGCTGGCATTACTGAATGCATTGCCAGAGAAAAGTGAATACATTGAAGCTCGCATTGCGCACTTGACGAGCATAGCTGAGCTTATCGAAAGCATTGATTTGATTGATACAAACGATTTTGTTGCAAAAGATCGGCTCACCCTTTCAGATGTGGGTGTGCAGTTGTTTGTTGACTTAAATGACATAGCAAAGAGAGATAATCCCACAAACGAGATTGCTATTTTCAAAAACGTGCTGGACCAAGCTGATTTGCGTGAGTATTCAAGATCGTGGACGAATTCGTGCAAACGAATGTACAGAAGTTTTCGAAAATATATTTGATAGATTTTGGACGCCGCTTGCCATAGACGAACGCAAAGCATTTCCAAAATTAAACGATTGGTCGGAAAAGTTTCATGCTGCTTCGCTGGAAGGCAAATTTAGAAATATACTTCACTTATATGAAATGTTTCACTTCTACAAACAGAAATAAAGAGTAATTTTCAAACGAAAATTAGTTCGTTTGACCCCACTGTACCAAACACTTATAAGTAAAGAAATTAGATAGAAATTCAAGTCGTGACTTATTAACAGTTCATTAAATAGGTACATTTTGTGATATAGTTCACTTCTTTTTTATATCTTCTTTCACAAATTACACAGTTCAACAAAATTTGGCCATATGTTATCTCAAAAACGGAACCGATCTCATCTTATTGATTGTTTGATGCTGATTTGAAGTGCATTTAAAAAATTCTTTTAGCACATCGAGTTTTTGAGAAAAATGCTGCTGAAGGGTCAAAAAATGGTAAAAAATGTCAAATGTCAAATTTTGTTTTTAAACAGAATTTGGACGTAGTTGTTCCTAAGAAAAAAAACACGTATTTATGAAAATTCAATTCGTTTCTTGGGAAAAACTACGTGCAAATTCTATTTTTAATTTTTTTGAATTTGCCATTTTTGTGATTTTTCCTCACTTCCAACAGTTTTTTCTCAAAAACTCGATGTGCTAGAAAAATTTTTTAAATGCACTTCAAATCAGCATAAAAAAAATTATAAGATGAGGTCGGTCCGGTTTTTGAGATAAAATACGACACAATTTTGTTGAACCGTGTTATTAGTAAAACTGCAAATCACAACGATGCACATTGAAAAACATAGAAAAGCAAAAGAAAGCTCCAAAAGCTTCACAAAATTGAAAAATATTTGCGAGATGAAGAAAAACAAGTACGTAAAATTTTTAATCTCGAAAGATCTCATGCATTTTCTGATCAAACACCAAAAATTATAAAGGGTGTCCCTCGCCCACCCCCAACGGTAGAGCATCCCCGACTTGATAATTCAGATTTTTTCGTTTTAAAATAAGAAAATTTTCACTCATTTCAAGAGTCTAGTACCAGCTGAAGTTCGAAGGTCATTTAGAGGTTGAAAAAGGCACTTCCGGAGAAAATTTTGTAAACGAAAGTTACGTAATTTTATCCTTAGAATGTTTTTTGTTTTTAATGTTGTGTTAGTTACAGAAATTTTAAATGTTTTTATGTTATTAATTTCAAAATTTGTTTCAATATTCAAAACAGTAGTATATCTAATAAACGAATTGCCCCTGAAGATGCTAAAAAGTATTAGGCGAAACGTTGGGCTAGAAAAATGGAATGACTTAGTTTTATTCGTATCTTTAAACTCAGATCAGACGAGCCTATTAGTATACAAATTAAATATTTTGATTTTTGTTTGGAAAGGTTATAAACTAGAAATTAGTATTTTACATGCGCAGACGTGTACAAATGAACCATCGATAAATATTCGCCATCAAACATCGATGCTTAACAAAAATGCAAAAACATCAAAACAGTAACTCATTTTTGTAAAAATTGCAGATGGAGAGTATTAATATAAGTTTTCGATTAGCTTTTCTCTATATTTATTTCACCAAAAATCTTCCAGCTGTTTTAATCTTTTCTCCGTCGACACTTTTTCAAACATTTGGGTCAGTTGTTGAATCAAAGGAACACAGTCGGTTGGTCTGACAAAGCAATGTTTCGTTTGTGGCATCGGCTAAGGAAACGAAAGCAATATGCATTTCACCATACTTAGCGCCTCGGGCGACCGCTCATGTAGTGCATACATACATACACGTTTTAAATATATGTAAATACATTTCTAATTAAAATGTAGATCCACGTTTTATTAAGACTGTAAATCACATCAATGTCTTTCGCAGTTACTTTTAATAAAACCAGTTTTTTAATTATGCATACAATAAAATAGTAAATGTTCAAGATAATCGCTTTATCACTTAACAAGAAATGTGAAAATCTTAACAATAGGGGTATTCTCTGAGTCTTGCAAAGCCCTTGCACGGTGCACGGATTGCACGGTTTGCAAAGCTGTCCCATACGAAAACCGGTTTTAACCGTGCAATCCGTGCAATCTGTGCACCATGCAAGGGCTTTGCAAGACTCAGAGAATACCCCTAATATAATCGGAACGCTTTCTCAGGTTAATAATAGCTGGACAATTTTGTTTAAAAGCAGCGCATATAGACATGATCTTACCACATAGATTTGTGCGGCGTTATGGCGAACGTATATGTAATATTAATTTTGGTACTTTGTCTGGGCTTACAGGTACGAACTATAAAATATACAACCAGCGCAAATTTGTATTGGTTTCAAATCAATTTTATTTGAATTTAGTACGCGGACTCGTTTCCTCAAAATTTCACACCAACCAATGAAGCTGAGGAAACCACAGTTGAGAAAAGTGCAGATTCAAGTACATTCTACAGTGAGGAGGCCACAACAATAAAG